ATTACTATTACCAAAAATGCATTTAACGCTTTGGGTAGTCAGGTGCATGGGCTATATGGGCTAGGTATGGTCTATATTACTTCGGCTTGGGTGTAAAGCTTTTTCGGCGCACTCTTTTCTCATAAAATCTAGTCCATAAACACATTCTGCGTGAAAAATCCTTAAAACATATGTGCATCTTAATCCTACCAATACAATTGGCAGGCATTGAGCGTGCAGTCTGTTTCGAGCTGTGCTGGGTTAGCGTGATATCTACGTGGTGTTGTATGTTTATAGACCTTTGCATCGCTTATAACCCGGGTGAAAAATTCTGAGTCACTGAGCTGTGGACGTATGCGCATCGTCTGATATACTGCACAACAAGACTACAGCGCATGCTCAGAAAGTGTTCCACAGCCCGGCAGACAAAGACGGCATCGCTCACAAAGCGATTTTTGCAAAGGTCTCAACTCGTTTCACTGTAAGTCCTGCCGCAGGTGACACCACGAGCTAATGGGAACAATCAAGCAGCGTCAAAAGCGCAAGTCACTGGGCCTCTTTCATTTATGCTTGTTCAGCAATGATATATGACACGTACAGAAACATTACCATCACCGTAATGGTGCGCTTTTTACGCTCTGTGATTGATCCCCTCAGGTCGTAGCGTCGGCTGCGTCTGTACTTGAGCTGAAACTGAGTATAGGAGGATGTCTGGATGTTGTATAGACACGGCGCCATGTGACCCTATGACGTCATGGTGTCAAGTATCTTTACCCCTCGTGCTGATGCAAAGTCAGGTAATGGTGTCACGTGACGTCACACTCATGGCGACACGTGATCATCGTCCGCTTTATGACGCCACGTGAACAGCGACCGTTAGCGAGACGTTAGTCTGCCAAATTAGCTCCCATATACCAGGTGTTTCGGTCACATGGTCACATGGCCGCTCTTCACCCAATTAGTTTCCCCGCTATATTTAGTGGCCAAATTGCACTTCCCTGCTGGCGCTTGAGTTAAGTCACGTTGACACACTTGATCTTGACTCCGACCGACTGAGACAAGACCGGTTTTTTAAGCCTCTTAGTACGGCTTAGGCCGCCGGAGGCGCGGCAATGCAGCCAGTCGTAAGCCGTCGGAAATGGCTTAAAAACCGATTTTGTCTCTGTCGGTCGGAGTCAAGCCCAAGTGTGTGAACGAGCCTTTACACTTCTGGCATTCTTGTTGCTTACGTTACTACACTTCCGTTTCACTTTTGGGATATTTTTATAGAACACTAACCTTCTTGACATTTTGTGTAAAACCAGTCGTCTGTTGACGTAAGCAGTCACCCCGTCGATAAAATCAACTTGTTTTCTTAATGCCGATACATTAATGCCTTGTTGACGCAGTTTTTCGTGCCTTCGCTTGTTATTTCGTGTGCTTGAAGTTTTTTCTCCGCTACTTTTCATAGCCCCTCCTAAGGGTCTTAGTATCTTGGAAATTGGTGTGCCAAAGCCAATCCCAGCAGTGAGCACGTAGGCGTCCTTGAACGTAGAGACAGGTTACAGCGTCCTTTCTGTCCGATGTAAACTCTGCCATGTGACAACCCGATTCTGTATGCGACGTCCTCGGCGCATTTCAGAAATGTCTGTGCATGTTTCAAAACGCATAAAAGTCCTTCGTTTTTTGTTTTTTTTTCTTTTCATTTGTGCGGACTTTCGTGGCACCGGAAACGCAGGAGGCGTGTTACATCGTTCTACCACTATAGCGGCCTAATTCGAAAATTGTTTTCTAGCTCGGATTTTTAGAATGCATGGAGATTAGGTTAATCGTAAGAAAGACTGGCGCTGGGAGATAAAAAAAGGGCTACTAAACGACACCTCACAACTAATGTGCTCTCGCACCGATCAATATCACTTATTATGAATAATAAGAAATAGAAGGATAAAAAAACATACAATAGAATTCACACCTATTCCTTTGGCACATTTTATTCATTTTTCATAGTATCTCTAACGGCTCTTATGTAATTAAATAATTTTCGATGAACAATAAGAAGGAGCTTGAAATGCTAAAGATCGTTCATCTCCGTGTTGTACAAGGCAAGTCAAAAGCCTTGTCAAAATAAAACTTCATTGCCCGGAGGGTATATTCCCCCGCCCTGACCTCAGTCGTGACGTCGTTTTCTGACCTTTTCGAAAATAGAAAGAGGGCGCGCGCCTAGCTTTAATAGGCGCGATGTGTGGGAGCGGAGATTCCGAAAACTCTGGATATAAAGTCACGCCCCGGGAGGCAGCGTCTTCAGCGGCACTTTGAAACTGATTTTCCGCGGCCTCTGTGGAACAAATTGGAAAATTATTTGACATTCGTGATTCTGGAGGTCTAATAAAGACGATTGAAGTGTTTTTTTCCTCAAATGCAGAACCGCTTTAGTTTTTTTTTAAATTTCCACTGGTTGAAAAATCTTTTGAATTAAATATATTTTGGCTTTTCTAGATGACTGTTCAGTGACAAACATCAAAAATAATAAGTAATGCGGAGATTAAACACATGTATTCACTGACGAGTTGAGAAGTTATGAAATAATGAACATAGTTACAGTTGCGCACACAAGGACAAGGACAGAGTAGTCTTTGCCCTTGTCCATGTTCAATATATACCAACTCGCCCAACTGTCTACTCTTCTACTTCTGAAATAATACTTTCATCAGCGAAAGTGCGCGCGTATGGTTCGTCGGATAATGCGGAAAATTCGGGCACTAGTGACCTTCAGAACGATAATAGAGAATTAGTCAGATTTCATGCAAAACCACAATTTGATCTTGTTTCTTCTGTTAAATTTCTAAATTGTAGCATGGCATAAAGTTCAGGATTGAACATCATGTTTTGTAACCCAAACATGAATATGAAGCGCAAAGGTGAAGAAGTTCATAAATAATTTTTTTTCCGAACTTGGCATCGATTTATTTAGAACTTACTGTGCACTCAATTGGTCCCGATTCTGTCACACGAGGCTAGACGAACTTTAATGACTTCTTCCAACGTTCTCAGAATCAATAAGGCACAACTCTGGTGAAGCTTTGCGCCAAAGTAAAGTGCGCATGGAATGACGCAGTGTCCTGAAAACTGTAACTTGAAGCTCTTGTTACATAACGCGATTGATCAGCCGTGTATAGAGGTATGTGTATCACTATACGGGGAAATAAATAGGGTAAGAATATTAGCGTACAGTGACGTTACCGGTCGAGGCTTATGCTCTAAATAAGAACAGAACCACAAGGTTCAAGTGAAGAGTCAGCAGCAGTGGTGGCATGTAGGAATCGCTGGGGGCTGGGCGTGGATTAAAACTTATAACCCGATTAATCGGCACCCTTTAATCAATTAATTAATCATTTATTCGGTCGCGTTCATTTCCAGACATAAGAGCATGAAAAGGACAAAAACATATTTATTCTTTTACGCTTTTTTTCTGTGACAAACACCGAAAGATGCACTTTCAGCTGGGGATAAGAATGGTGTTATTTGTGAATTTTCCGCCGACGAAGATATTAATGTTTGCGTTTTGAGCAAAAAAAGTTTTAGTAGATCGTTCTGATACCTGTGACACACGCAATAACTATACGATGCGTGCATGCTCAAAGACTCTGGCGTAATATAGGGTATCATTATCGGAGTCATCGGAACGATTTACAAAAAAAACTCTCCAATAATGAAAGTCACTAAGATTAAAAAAAAATACACTGAAAGTTCAGATTTTGGTTTAGGTTCACCCGGCTTCAAATTCAACCGATTAACCAGCTCAAAAAATTAATCGCGGTTAAAGCAATATTATACTAATCGGAAGGTTCATCGATCAATCGCTTAGCCGTACTGGGAACCATGTACACTAATCCGGGAAGTAAATTACGCGCTGGCATATCAAGAAAAGAGTTTCACAGAAAAGTTCTCGGCTTGAAAATGTTAAGGGGAGGTTCAGCGCAAAATGATCAGAAATACATAAATTCAATTCATGTTATTGGAAATATGAACTTTACGTTCTGCTATCAATAGGTTCTGTCGAGTCCATGCTTGACAAGGGCGTGGCGGAGGCATCTAAAAATATTGACCTTGCTCAGGCACTTTTGGGAGGCCATAGACGACGGAACCAAGCTTGCATCTAGCTCACTTTAGGGTGTCGCACCTGATGCGGACGAGCGGCAGCTGTCAAAAACTTTGACGGATGGTTAAGGTTATATATCCAAGGTTTTGGTTCCCGTAATGGGGTGACGACGCAGATGCAGTCATATTTGAAACTTCATGAAGAAAATGAGGTGGTTTAAGTGGTCATTTAACTCTAACCATAGGAAAGCTTTTTTTTTTTTTTTTTCAGAAGGAAATAGCAAGTGGCATATTCGGATAAAAATATAAAAATAAAAATATTGAAATAAAAGGACTAGTGACCAACTAAACTGAATGCTTGCGTCAACTTCATCGATAACAATCAAAAGCTTTTTCGTCAAATTTTGGCGCGATATAAGGGCCCGATGGACCTTCCTCGAATCTATAGGTTTAAAAAAATCAGTACGGCCGTACCAGCCTACGAGCAGGAATGACTCTCTTACAATGACCATAACATGTGTAGATTTTTAGATGAGCAGTGTGATGACTAAGTTTCAAAACAGTTAGACAACCCTAACCTATTAATCAGAGCAATCTCAACCAAAGGTTAGTCAATGAAAAATTAGATGTCTTTTGAACCACTTGTTTTTAGTTGTTTTTTCTAGGACAAGTTATCTCGGTGTTGATTTTTACCACACTTTTGCTATGAACGAAACCTAAAGAGCACCTTAACACAAAACATCTTCCCCAGCATAAAAAAAAAAAAAAAAAATCTTCGTTGTTGACGTTTGCTCTTTTATAACCGCTTTACAAATATCAATGTCAATAGGAATAAGTTACTTTCGTGAGCATGGTTAAAATTGTGCACAGATAAAAATTCTATTTCTGCGCTATTTGTGCGCAATTTTAACCATGTTCAACCATTACCAAATCGCTCAACTAACCACCTTATTACCTTCGTGAGTAGCCGCGAGGCTCTTTTATTACTCTTCTGGTGTAGAGATCATTCAAGCAAAAAAGTTATTATATGATTAATTTAAATGGCTATCATTTAATACATTAAAGTACTGCCCGATTCATCCTGGGCATTATTATAATCTAGGTATTTACAGACCTTTCAAAACAAGAGTTAAAATTATGCCTTGGTATAAAAGCGTGCCGGCTAAATTAATGGCTCCACCCGTTCAAATCAAGGAACCTCTTTTTTCGAGGCAGGTATTGATTTATTTTAGCGCCTATTAATAAAGTTATCTCATTGTATCTTTATAGACGCACAATATATCCGAACCTTTATTTTCTAGTGTTTTTTTATTTTAAATTACACATATCTTCCCTGGATTCTTGACCCTGTGATTGCATAGTTAACTTACCCCCAGACTCCTGAGTTTCCAGCCGGAAGTAGGGATTGGGATTCTGGATAAGGTATTGCTGAAAAGAATAAAAGAAACAAATTAAGAGATTTTACTCTTTATTCACTCGAATTACTCAGGATTAAGCAAAGCAGCAAAATTAACAGCCTTCGGTTATCTGTTACTTCTAAACAAATACAGTCACGATCAAAAGAAATACAAACAATCAAGCGGCGTCTGAACGATACCTATGTTGCTTAAAGCAAAAAAAAAGCAAAAGACCGGTTCATCTTGTTTTTCATCGTGACCGATTTGATCTCTGCGATTTGCCGCCAACGGCTGTGTCCAGGATGGAAGAAGAGAGAGGTACGGAAACAAAGATCAGAAAGAGTGCCCGAATTTCATCCGGGCTTCGAACATCTCACCGTAGCGCTCTATGGGGTTGGGCTCGGCGCTCTGGCGCAATCGCGCGCCGGGCGGCTTTAGCGCGGGCGTGGGCGCGCGCATCACGGCCTTGAAGAGGTGTGGGCAGGTAAGGACAGTTCCTCGAGCTCCTGTCATGCTGCGCCATCTCACGGCGTTTGTCAGAAATGGCAGCGAATCTTCTACGCACTGGGTACGTAGAGAGGCGGCACCCTTTACACACCTCTCTCTTCCACCGTCACCCTCTCTTTATGTTGCTTGTTATCTTGAGTGTCTGACGGCGAGAATAATGCCACCCTTTCATAAGAATGATGCCACCCTTTCATAAAATAATGTGTCAGCCCGGCGACTGCGCATCTTATTAACAAAATCCGCTTAGTCATTCGCTTAGAGCAATTTCAATTCTATTTAGAAGCGGCGTCATTCTTTAATAGTCCACTGGCGCTGTGCCTTGTGCGATCTGAATGCAATCCTTTAGTTGTAAAAAAAAAGGATCACAGGTGATTGAGACATAAATGACGCAGTGACATTCCTGTGCACAGCAGATAACAATGCGCAATTTTGCGTGATCTTATTGTCACGCGATTACTGATGGCTCTCTGATTATAAAGACCAGGAATCCAAGGGTGCGACGGTGAGTGTCGCGCCTTGTGTAGCCAAGCGTGAATATAATGCAACGACTGGAAACACGGATAATAATCTCGCTGGAGAAATACCACCAAGCTCCGCCAGATGGTTCTGCATGCTCAGGAAGGCACGCGCGCCGCTGTCCGTTTTCATTTTTTTTTTTTTTTTACCAGGATTGAAGATTTATAATTTGCTGTATTGAGGGTCATTACATAGCAGTTCGGAACCAGCGGCAATATCCACCGGGCAACAGCCAGGCGGCAGCAGCAGAGTTGGAGCCCACAGTTATACCCTGTCTTGTTGTAACTTGACAGAGGGTGAACGATAACCCCCACATTGCGTGCCAACGGCTCCGATATGCGCCACGTATACGTGCGCAACGCACATATATCGGAGGATGATGCAGCGAAAACCTGACACTTCTTCGCAGTAAAAGCACACTACAGCGATGCGTAGTCACGTTCCGATTGGCCCAAGAGGGCCGTAACTTCCGCTGTACTGGCATGTTATGCGATCGCGGCTTCCTGGCCTACCCTGCATTTCTTACTTCAGACGCTAGACTAAGCGGCGCCACTAGAGTAATATATCCCGTTTCAACAATGCAGCCGCCACTCCCAGGCATGCTAAATGTTTCTTGCTTCAGTCGCTAAATAACGCCAAACCAAACAGCATTGAATGTTGCCTATAGGACTACTGGCAGCTAATACTTAATCAATTAGGAACAGGGTGGTAAGCTTTACGTCCAAGATAGGTATTCTAAAGAGGAATAAACTGTGTCACCCTTATTTTTCGCCTTCGTCAACACTACTTCGTTCTGAACGATTTGCTTCCGTACGCCTTCAGCAGAAGAAAGCAAGATTTGATCGCTTGATCTTTTGACATGCTTTGGAGTTTTCATTTTTTTTCTCTTATCTAGTTCTCCTCCATTATATTACTACAGTGCCCTAGAAGTGGGGTAGTGGGCTCACCGCCCTATCTCCCCCGTGTGCCGCGCTGAAGCGGCCGATGTCGAAAACGTGGGAGTCGCAGCAGTAGATTCTTCTTTGGGGGGATCGGTGGCCGAGTGGGCTGAAGCGCACACCCAGCTCAACGCGCGTGGAGTGAAAGCTCGCGATGCGGAACCCAGGGATCCTGGGTTCGAGCCCCACCCCTCCCGTTTCGATCTGGGTGAGCATCGTACCGGCGTGCGGTCGTGTATCACTACTGCGTGGTGCACGTTAAAGACCCCAGGCTAGCGGTTGTACCGCACTGGCTAAATTGTTCATCTACAGCGTGTGACTCGTCGCAGCTTTAAATGGCAGACCAACTACACGCTGTATAAATATCCCCACAACACCAATTATTATTATTAGATTCTTCCTGAAACTTCTCCCGCCCGCTGTTCGCGATGGGTAAGAGCTGCCTGGCCGACCTGGTCTGGCCAATGCACGCTGGAAAATTTCAGGAGGAAACGCTTACAGCGCACCGTCGCGTCGACATCAAACACGTCAGGCTGAGCCGTCCCGTGAGCTTACTACAAGTCTCTAGGCCACTGTGATATTACGGCCGTTTTAGACTTCAATGTGAGTGTTGCTACCATCTTCTCAACAAGTTAATTTCCAATTCGCATTATAGCGCGTGGCGAGCATTGACAAAGATTACTGTCCCACGCCGATGAAACCCAGCCAAAATTACTGGGCTCCACAGACACCCAAGGAAGATCCGCCAAACCAGATCACAAGTTAAAACCTCGTCTTTGTTGTATATTTATATACCACGGCATAGCGGGTGGCTATTGTCGATTTTCATTTGGTTCACGTGTTCTTGCATAACGCCCTTTTTGCCTACTTTGGCACCCGACAAACAGGAACGACATTTACAAGCCCGTGCTCAACCTACGCTACCCAGAATAATCAAAGCCCGTGAAAAGCCTCCTCTACCATAATGTAAGGTCACACTCGGATGACGCTTTCCAGCTTTCGCTATGCATCAATGACTGGATTACGCTGACTGACATTATAGCAACTGATACTAACCATCTTTCGTTCCAATCCAAGTGCAGAACGTATTTGAGTATATACTACTCCGTGTCTCTGTAATTCTTTCAATTAAATTGTTTATTGAGATATTATTTGTAATTTATATTTTGACTTGTTTACCTCGCTCTTCATGTAATATATCCGAGGGATGTCTTTGAGGATAATCAGCTTGAACATGAACTCTGACTCTGAAATTGAACACAAGCCCGACACCGAACGTCTTTCGACGCTGTGAAGGAACACGAAGGTCAGCCTTACGCTGGCGCTGTAGTCGTGTCCAATCTATGTCTGCGTTATATCTCAGTGTGATTATGTCGAAATGCTAGTGCACGGGCTTTAATTATTCTAGCTGATGTTGGTCTGACGCGATTTCACAAACAAAGGGACCATTTCCATTTTTAAACGAAAAAAATAAAACTAAGATGGCATATGCCATCTTAGTTTTATTTTTTTGAGTGCGCGTCACCGCCACGCAGCAGTGACGCGCACTCTGATGCATTTATTGTTGCGCTAAAGCACAATAACATCACTCCGTCAGCCACCAGCTTCTGACTTCAGAAGTTTTCATGCATGTTAATATCAATGTCGATGCATACCAAGTTTTTGAAAAATCTATATTTCTGTTCCAGTGGCGATAGATATTTCCACGCGACACATGCCACCGGTGTTTGAATGAAGAGTCCGTTTGAACGCGTTTTATGAAATCAAGGACACTTCAACGACACAATCCTAAAACACAGCTACGGTTTCAGTCAGAGACGCCTTAAAAGACCCAGGAAAGAAAAAAAAAACAGGCGTTACAGTTACGCGTTTTCTTTTGAATCAATAATTAGACATACTTTGCTACGTTTTGAGCGAGTTAAAAATCATTGAAGTTTGGTTAATTTTCTGTAGAATAGTTAGAACCATCTGAAGCAAATAGCATCAGCCTAACGATTTCTTCTTGTTGCAAACGGGCACTTTAACAATAGTCTTGAGCACTGAGGTTAATCATCCCCAGGTGCGATTTGAAACTATAAAGAACATGGGCATCGTCATTTTGTAGGTATAGTCTACCGTTTGCTACACGGTGTTAGGAACACTTCGTACGCAAAAATCCGAACGCGGGCTTCACTCAGGGGAAGTCTTATTCACCGACAAATTATACAGCACCATTCCTTAACCCCGCGCGGCACCATGAGGGCCAGTACCACTTAAAAAAAAACAAAAAGACAAAAATTCGAAAGAGTCCGTAGCTGAACCAGCTAGGGTCCTGCTGAACATGAAAGCCTTCGCAAGAACAGAAAAATGTCACGCAGTTTTGTCATGTACCTGAAGATGTTTGGCAGTGCGAGATTGAGGATATGTTGGGTTTTTAAGTGTCAAGCCTGCCCAACTGTAGTTTCTAGACTGTCGGCATTTTCAGTATGCTATAACACTCTCCGTGTGTCAAACGACTTTCATGTGCGGGATGTTGAGTAATTTCTACAAACCCAGTGCACACACGTCACAATTCAGGCTTAGCCGACCCGCCCGCCCCCCTCCCTCCTTTAAAAATTTTCTGTATTGGATCTACGTGGTACATACACCCTATACAGCTTCCTCCTACAAGAACTTTAAACGAGCACCCCCCTCCCCCCCGCAAAATAAGACTCCTGGATATACCCCTGAGGGTTTCCCTAGGGGTTACTTCCTGAATAACGCCCGTAAGCCCGGCTCCTGTTAGGACACATTGTATTCTCAGTGTGAAGACAGAAATGTGAGCACCCTAATGACGGTGTTAACAGGTAAAAGAGTCAGTTTACAAGGCTCTGTAAAAAGTCCCTCTCCCCGTTAAGCAATGACCGGGGAAAGGGGGCGGGGGGGCGCATAAGCTTTGAAAGTTTGGGCTCGCGTTCTTGGAGGATTTGGCAACAAGTCTGGGCATATGCCAACATAAAGTGCTCAGCGCTTACTCTTTCGTCTCTCATAATTTTTTTTTTTTATGTTCGCGTACTTGTTTGAAACGAGAAAAGAAGAAAACATTTAATTA